TTTTTTAAAAAAAATATTTTTTTGTATGATTTTTTTTGTTTTGTAGAGGCAGTTTTATTTATTTAATTTAAATTAACCATATTAATCCCAAGTTTTTTGAGATTGGTTTTTTTTTTTTATTAGGTGGTGAATCAATAGAAATTTACATATTCATTTTTGGTGTTGTTATTATATGTTTGTTGTTATTGTTTTGGTGATGTTTATTAACAAATTCTGTTATCCCATATTATTGGTGCCAATTTCATAATTAATGTTAATAATAAAAAAATTGAAAAAGTTGAAAAAGTGAGTATTAATGTGTTAGTGAGTTGGTGAGTTTTTTTTTTTTTTATCAAATTATTTTTTTATTTTTTTCTCAAAGCTCTTCTTTTTATTATTGGTTTTTGGAGTTTTGTATTATTGATCAATTAAAATTTTTTTTTGTATATACGCAATATTTTGCAAAGTAATAATATCTTAAAATCTGGATTTATTAAAAATTATGTCTTTTTATTTTGGGGTGAAATCATTTGAAAATAAGATTTTAATTTATTTTATTTTTGGTCCCCACTTTTTAAATTGTGCAAAGTTGCCTTTATTTTTTTCAGTTCATATAAATTACAACAAAATATTTTGTAATTCTCAATTGATTCATTACATAATAATAATAATGATATTTTAATAATTATAAAATTGGATTGAAATCAAAATCAATTTGTGTGAATTTGAATTTTTTGAAAAAAATATTTATAAAAAAAAAAAAAAGTAAATTAAAATTGTATATTCCTTTTGGTTTTTATTTCTATTTTTACATCCTTTCTCCCATCATTCACACATAATCATAAATCAATATAAAACCAATTTCAAAAATTAATCTCGATTTGATTCTTTACTATCTATGATTCTTTAAAAAAACAAATAAAAAATAAAGGTCCACACTAAGGGTCATTTTTTTTTATTACTTTTTTTTTTCTTATTGATATTATTAATTTTTAAAAAAATAAAAAAATAAAAAAATAAAAAAAATATACTTTATTTTTTTTAAAAAAAAAAATTAAATTATTTCATTTTTCATATGAAAAAATAAATAAATTAAAGAAAATAGTTTCAATAGAAACCAAAGTGTGGTTTTATTTTTTGGATTTTTTGATATTGAAATTTCCATAGAGATATTTATATTATAACAATGGTTATATATTAGATTTTTATAATTTTCTATTTCTTTCTTTTTTACTTTTTTTTTTTTTTTTTTAATTTTTTTTTTTTTTTTTTTTTTTTTAATTTTTTTAAAAAATATTTTTTTTTTTTTATAATTTTCACATTTTTTATATAATCATACCAGTGTGTGGTAAAACGAATTGTTTTTTTTCTTTTCTTTTTTTTTCTTTTCTTTTTATATTTATTTAATGTTCATTGTTTAATAAAACACACTTCCATAATAGTATTTTTTTTATTTGTAAATTTTAATGAATCTATGTTTTTTTTTAATTAAAAATATATTTTTTTAAAATTTTTTTTTTTTTAAAATTTTTTTTGTTTATATTTTTTCATATAAATAACAATGATAAACTTTAAAGGAAGTGGGAATCAACTAAGTAAATATGTTGATAATAATAAAAAATTTTTATTCCTAGAAACACATTTATTTCATTCAAAGAAAACATTGGGATTTTTCAATAGTGATACTATTGTTGAATATATTACTGAGTTTACAGACGTAAGTAGTAATATTATAGTATTATTATAATATTTAAATTTATTATAATAAAAAAAACAAAACAAAAAACAAAACATTAAAAAAAACAAAATTTAAAAAAAAAAAAAAACACTGTTGGGTTATTAGAAATATTAACATTTTATTATTAATAAAAGTATTACAATAGAATTTTTAGAGATAAAAATAATAATTCAATATGTAAAAGATTGTTATCATGTATATTAAAGTTAACAAGGGTTGTATGGTCAGATAAGCAATCAAGTTCAGACTCGATATTAATAGTTATAGATTCATTATTCAAATTGATATTAAATGTAGAGTTAAGAGATTCAATCGAACAAAGTCATTTGGTTGTAATGTTGGATATTTTATGTCAAAATAGATTCTTTTCACAAAGCAGAAGATTTATTGAACCATTGTCACCATTATCGCCGACTAGAATGACTTTAACAACACCATCTTTATCACCATCAAAATTTTTTAGCGCTGCAAAGAATCATCTTTTACAACAATCACCAACTAAAAACTTTTTAGGTGCTAGTAAAAATATAAATATAAATAATAACAACAACAATAATATATCGCCATCATATCCATCATCATATAACGGCAGTATTAATAGTTCATTTTCAACATCAATAATGAAAACACCGATGACTCCTTTTGATGATACCCAAAGTTTAACATCATCAGTCGACTCTTTAACTGCTGGCTCAATTCCATTCAATCATATTCTCAATCCTTTAACTTTAAAAGAATCTTATATTATATTAATTCCATTATTGTTTTTATATTGTAATAATGTAAAGTATTTTTTTGTTTTTATAATTTTTATAAAAATCATAAGCTAACATTTTAAAAACACAAATAGGATAAAAACTATAGAGAATTAAAAAAATATTTTGGTGCCAATATTATTGAAAAAGAAACATTTGAATATTTTACAAGTCATTGGTCCATTACAAATAAACCAGAAGATCATGTTAGATGTGCAAACTTTATTTTATCACTTGGAAATAATTCGTATTTATTAAAAGAAAATAAAATGTTATTTTTAAAGTAATTATTTATAGTAATAATAATAATAATAGTTAAATAAAATTTTAGAAATACTAATGTTTTTTAATTTTAGCACTATATTAAACATTATTAATTCAGAATCAAATTATTGTAAAAATAAAGGTATAGAATGTTTAGAGGTCCATTTAATGAATTTTATAGATACAACCAATTTTTATGTATTAATTATAGAAGAAATTTATAAGCATCAAGAAAAGTTTTTCAATATATTTAAAAAACTATATACAAAAGATCCAAAAACCTTTAGTGTAGTAATAGAGCCACATTTTTCTAAATTATTCAAAATATTTACAGGATCATCAAAGAGTTTCAATATGTTAAATATACTGATTAAATCTGTTAGCAATAGTTTTTTTACAACTCATTTAAATGAATTTATTACAAAACTTATTCAAATTCCAATTACATCAATAACAAGCAATTCAGCAGCATTAACATCAGGTTTACCAAATATTAATCTTTCAGGAGATGGGTTGTCACCATCATTAATAAACAACTATAAGAAGTATGAAGTTTTAGATTCAATCGTATATGTAGCCAAGTTAATACCAACTGAAGAAATGTTACCACATGTTAGAATTTTAATGAAGCATTTTAGAACTTTAGATTATATTCCTTTGGACGATGCAAATACGTTATCCTATGAATCGATTATAAGATCGTTGGTGCAACTATACAAGATGATGGGTGAATCATTCATTCAATTATTTTATATAGCAATAAACTCAATTTGTAAAAGCCCAGAAAATACTGGTGGTATGGTAATTCTAGGTGAAATTATAACAGAATTTCAAGATAAACTCAGAATTCAAGATATTCAACAAATATTGAAATTTATAGGGTCAACTTGTTTATGCAAACGTGATATATTCCCAACTTTTATAGATTTCTACTACCGTCACTCTTCAATGTACGAATTCAATTGTTACATCGAGAAAATACTACAAAAGGATATAAAATCAAATATAGACAGTAACTTTGATAGCGTTATAGTCGTAAATAATAACAGTATCATTGAAGATGATGACCACGATATAGACCATCTAGGAGATGACCATCACATTAGTGTTAAAGTTGTAAATAATAATATATCATTCGTCGAAAATCACAATCCATTAAAATCAAGTGGAAGTACTGGTTACAATTTAAATCACCACCATCATCATCAACAGCAGGGTAATAACTATAATTTCTCTATTGACTTCCATTCAAATTCAAATATCGATGATGACTGCAGAATTAAATCATTTATAAACACACTTCAATTCATTAGGGTTATAGGTGAATATTGCCCAAATGCCTATTCAACAGAATCACAAAAAGAACGTATTAAAAAGATATTTACCTCATTAATTGAAAAGTTACCCCAATCTGTAGTCAATGTTTTCATGTATTCCGGCAAAAAGAGTGTGAGATTTATTTATCTTTTAATTTCGCCATTGGTATCACTTATCAACTCACTGCCATATAGCGACGACATCTATTCAACATTTATGGAAGGTATCTTACAATGTATATATTCGCGTAAACGTCAAGATCCAACCATTAATATTACACCATTCATCGATTTAATGCTTATTATCAATAATGAATATGTTCCAGGTTCAAAATCAACTCATTATGATGCTATTATCAAACAAAACATTCTATATTACAAAAATTACTATAATCCAAATAAAATATTCACCTCGATTGTAAATGGAAGCAGCAATAGCTCAAATTATACAAACAATACTACACCAAATAATAGCTCGCCAAATCTATTATCACTCAAGGACCATAGTTCTGTCTCTAATGTACAGTTATTCAGTTATCATTATTATCAACAACAAAAATCACATTTATTAGCAGACTTTTCATTGTTTATTGATCGTCGTAATCCACGTTTCCTTTTGTTCTTAAATCAAGTATTACTTTTATGTTCATATAAATTTTTAAAGAAATTAGTAATATCCTATCCTGCTCAGTTGGCTCAATCAAGTGCATTTAAATTGGCATATGAACAACTATCTTTACGTCATAAAGAATCATTAATCAAAATTATTCAATCCTCATCCACCTATAATCCAACATTAGGTGATTTGTTAAAATCCATTAAGCGTCCAGTTATGCCACTTATCGATAGTAGTTTCAAACCAGGATACGGTCCTTTAATCAAAACCATATATCAAGATGCTCGATTTACACCAGAATGGAAAGTTTCACTATCATTAGTTTCCAGAGAATGGTTTGATCTTTGTCAACTAGAACTATCATCATCAGTTAGATCCGCCCAGTTAATGAGAATTTACCACTCTATCAGACCAGGTGTTAGATTTTGTTTGTTTGAAAAAATTATACACTTTTCACTTCAACAAATTTTAGTTTATCCAATGGATCAATGGAAAGATATTTTCCGATATGCAGAGTCTATTGATTTATCAGGTATAGATTACAATATAGAACTCCAACGTCATTTAGATATATTGGTTGAAATTGACCATTTCCCAAATTTAAGTCAGTTAACATTAGACTCTATCTCCAATGACAGCTCTAGCTTTAATAGAATCATCGACAATATTTCTATGAATCCTTTAGTTAGCTTGGAAAGATTAGTCGTTAAATTAGAATTAACTCACTATAGCGAGGTTGAAAATGTATTGGAATTCTTTAAGAACATCCACAGCAATGCCGTATCAGCAAATAAAGAGAAACTAAATATAGAAATAGAATTTTTAAATAGTACATGCGATTGGTTAATTTCATTGGTAAATGAATTGTACATACTTTTTAATAGCAACAATAGCAATAGTGTTATTAAAATAAGAGCACCCTATCCAGATGACAGAGTTTATTCAACTTATAAAGCAAAAGGTGAAGAAAAACTACAAGAAATTACCAACTACATTAATCAATGTGTTATTTTAGTTGTCGGTAGTCAAACTGATTCATATGTGCAACCAGCATCTGAAAAACAACCTCTATCGGAGCAACAACAGCAACTTCAAATCATTCAAGATAAAGAGAAACAGCAAAAAAGAAAATTACAAAAACAACAATCCCAACAAGAGTTACACCTACAACAAATTCAAGAGCAACAAAAACAACAAAAACAACTTCAATATCTATCCTACGAGGAATCATTTGACTATTCAAAACTATTGTTGCTCCAAAGCCTTGTAATCTCAAACTGTGAAGAATTTGGTATATTTTTTGAAATTAACTTTGTAGCATTACTTGAAAATACTAAGCATCTAAATCACTTGTCAATCGATAACATAACAAACCTCAACCAATTAAACCAAGCTTTAGCATTTATAGGTTTAAATCATTCACTTGAATCCATTAGTCTAACTATAAACACTTCGCAATTAGATTATAAAACTTGGAGCGATAGTATTTTCTCTGGAACCTATTTCTATGATGGTTTAAAACAACTTTTCAAACTTTTAAATTCAAATCAAACCATTTCAAGTGTTTATATTGCAACTCATAATGACTTTTCTTTGTTGGATGATTTAAGTTGGTCAAAAATCGACAAGGGTCAGTTTAAATTTATAAATCAATTTAATTTACAATTAGAAAGATCAAAAAAAACAAATTAATTAATAAAAAATCAATTTTTCCAAAAATCCAAAATTTATTATAATAACCATAAAAATTCAATAAAACACAAGGGTAAAAAAATAATAATAATATAATTATATTAATAACAATAACATAAAGATTAATTATTATCTACCAACCACTGATTAATAATCATAAATTAAATAAAAGGAAAAAAAAAGAAAAAAAAAAAAAGTAATTTATCAATAATCAATAATAAATTTGATGATTTAATAAAATTTTAAAAATTTTAAAAATTAAAATTAAATTAATCTAATCTAAAAAAAGAGAAATAAATGGATTTTTTTTATTTGGGGAAAAAAAACCATAATTTTATGTGTTTTTTTATTATTATTTTTAAAAAGATAAAATTAAATGAAAAAAAAAAAATTTGTTAAAAAAAAGAAAAAATAAAATTAAAAAGAAAAATCTCAATAGATCTAAAATTATAGTTTTTTAAAAAATTTTTTATAAATTTTTTTTAAATTTTTTTAATTTTTTCTTGGTTGTGTGTATACAAAAAAAAAAACAATTATAATTATAATCATTTAGAGAACAATACATTTTCAATAATAAATTTATAAAAATAGAACACAAGGACAACTTAAGTGATTATTTTTTTTTTTTTAAATTTTATAATTTCAAGACATAGAAATAATAATAAAATAATAATTATACACACATAGTATATAAATAAATCTATTAATAAATCAATACTCATATGTTCATTAACCTGGGGGGGAAGTAATTCAAAATAAAAAAATAATAAAAAAATTAATATTTGTATGTATGTGTGGTTGCGCATGGTGTTTGAGGCTCCTTTATAATATAACCTTTTTTTTTATTTAATTTTTATTTTTATTAACCATATTTGGAAAGTTTTTATAAAAATTAGGGGGGGTAACAGCCCCCCATCCCGCGCAAAGTGCGTTGGGTTAATTTTTAATTTTAATTTTTTTAATTAATTTTTTTTTATAAAAAATTTTTTGGTTATTTTTTTTTTTTTTTTTTTTTTTTCCTAAGGCAAAAAAATGGGGGGTTTAACCCCTGGGGTTCCTTTAAAAAAAAACTTTTTTTTCAATCCCCTTGGGAAACCCCCAAAAATTTTTTTCCCCAAAAAAAAAAAAAAAAAAAAAATATGAAAAAAGATACAGGATTTTTTTTTTTTCAAATTTTTTATTTTTTTAATTTAATTATTTTTATATTGTTACACTCAATCAATATAGAGATGCACCGAACATCATCAGCTTTAATTAAATTTTCACTCAGAAAAAAAAAAAATAAAAAAAAAAAATTTTTTTTTTTTTTTTTTTTAAGCACACCCCTTTTTGACAGATTTCCTATCCTTTTCCCAAGGGCTTTGTAATTTCCCATAAAACCACGGAGGGCCCCCCGGAGACCCTTTTATTGAAAAAAATAATATAAAAGGAAAAAAATTTTAAATAAAATTAAATAAAATTAAAAATTTATTAAATTTTAAAAAAAATAAAAAAAATTTCCCCTACCCCTCCCTACCCCCCCCCCCCCA